CTACTTCGACAACCGGTTGGTTGTTTAGCTGTGATCCGGCCCGCCGGGCTAGTATACGGGAGGTAAACGTGTTGAGCATCATTGCTCGGTCGGATAGAATTTGGTGACCGCACACAACCCGCGGCGTCGGTGGTCTGGAAGTTTTTAACCGCAGCACTATATATCGTTGTATGTCGGCAAGTAGTTTGAAGAGTGGAGAGAAAGAAAAAAGGTTCGAACATGCTATGTATGCCGCTGATCTATTGGTTCTTAAAGTTCAGTAACGAAAGGGGGCGAGGGAGGGAGTGTGGAGGGGGAGGGGTGATATATTTTCGGGGTTGGGGGGAAGTACCGGAAGTACTGTTGCCCGTGGGGGAATGCTGCTGGCTGACGGACGGCAGGATGCCGTCTCTGAATATATATGTGTGTGTGTGTGTGTCTGAAGTGTCGCGCCTTTTTCTTCGAACATCTTCATCTCTGCTTATCTATAACATTTTATGGTGCCAAACAGCTCGCGACCCTCCTGTGCCTTCTTATTCTTCTCCCCCAGTGTCTTCGCGTTGTTTTACCCTGCGTTTAAGCGGCAGACCTCGAGGCGCAGTCGTCAGGCGTCGTCGTTCAGGAGGCCCTCGTGAGTTCGGCTGCCTTTTTTATGATGAAGTGTGGCGACGATTACCATGCCTAATGCGGGCGGGTGGGGTGCCAGCACCAAATCAACGCGAAGGTTAAGAGCCGATACCACTAAACAACAACAACGACGACGACAAAAAACGTAAAATAATTGTGCGGTTTGAAACCGAGCCGACCCGAGGCAGGGAGGGGACCCGCAAGTCGAGCCAGCAGAGAGCACCCGGCTGAGATAGGCCGCAGTCGGCAAAACCGCAGGACTGCGTGAGACGCGGCGGGAGACGCGTCTCTTGGCACGGTGTGTGGCACGGTGACCCGGTGGCACTCTGGCAGGACGAGGCGACGACCCGAGGCAGACACGTCTCTGGAGGTGCCACCAGCGCGAGCATCGCGTCAGAGGTGCCCTCCAATCGGGCGTCGCGGCCTAGTGTGCGTTGCT